GAGCTGTCACGGCGGCTGGTCTGGGAGAAAAACCTGCGATACATCAACACGCACAACCTGGAGCACTCACTAGGCGTCCACACCTTCGAGCTGGCTATGAACCACCTGGGTGACATGGTGAGTGGCCCAGGGACGGAGGGGACGGAGCAGCGGGTAGGGCAAGAACGCACCAGGGCACAAAACCCTGCCAGGGCCACCTGCCCTCGGCTGTGCCCAGCCACCTCGGCTCTTTCTCCAGACCAGCGAGGAGGTGGTGAGGACCATGACAGGTCTCAAGGTGCCCCGGGGCCGCTCGCACCACAACGAGACCCTCTACGTCGCCGATGGGGCCGACCGGGCACCAGCCACCGTGGACTGGAGGAAGAAAGGCTACGTAACGCCCGTGAAGAACCAGGTAGGCAGGGCAGCCTCGGGGCACCCAGTGCCCAGCGTCACCCCAGCGTCACCCCAGTTCGTCCCTGGCAGGGCCAGTGTGGGTCGTGCTGGGCTTTCAGCTCCGTGGGTGCCCTGGAGGGGCAGCTGAAGAGGAAGACGGGCAAGCTGCTCTCACTGAGCCCCCAAAACCTGGTGGACTGCGTGACCAACAACGACGGCTGCGGCGGTGGCTACATGACCAACGCCTTCGAGTACGTCCGGCAAAACCGCGGCATCGACTCTGAGGACGCCTACCCCTACATCGGCCAGGTTGGGGGGATGAGAGGGTGGGCTGGGGATGCCCCGGTGGTGCTCTCATCGTCCCCCGCATCGCCTTCACCCAGCCCCATCCCTCGTAGGATGAGAGCTGCATGTACAACCCCACCGGGAAGGCGGCCAAGTGCCGAGGCTACCGGGAGATCCCTGAAGGGAACGAGAAAGCTTTGAAGAGGGCCGTGGCCAGGATCGGCCCCGTCTCCGTGGGCATTGATGCCAGCCTGCCCTCCTTCCAGTTCTACAGCCGAGGTGAGTTCACGTCTCTGGGAGCAGAGTGGCGGCCCAGGGAAACTGAGGCACAGCAGGGCATCCCTGTAACTGGGCACCCTTTTGCTCAGGTGTCTACTACGACGAGAGCTGCAACGCCCAGAACATCAACCACGCGGTGCTGGCAGTGGGCTACGGCGCGCAGAAAGGCACCAAGCACTGGATCATCAAGAACAGGTAGTGGGAGCCGGCACAGGGGGCAGTTGTCAGCCAGGGCCAGGCTTTGCCGGCCACGAAGCCAGCAGCTCAGGGCCTGTTCTTTCTCCCTGCAGCTGGGGCGAAGAGTGGGGCAACAAAGGCTACGTCCTGCTGGCGCGCAACATGGACAACGCCTGCGGTGTCGCCAACCTTGCCAGCTTCCCCAAGATGTGAGCGTTCCCAGCCCGCTCCCTGCCGGCGCCGCTGCCTGGGGCTGAGCAGCTCCTGGCTGCCCTCTGCTTCTGTGTGTTAAAACTTGGCCTTTTTACCCTCAGTCTTTCCAAAGCAGACATCCCTGAGGGGGAATCTCTCCCTCCCCATAAGAAGTCTCCCCCAGAAGAGGGGAGAGGTCCCCCCAGCTGCAGATAAACGGGGTGATGAGTCCCCACCTCGCTCCATTTTCCCAGGGCTTGGCGTCATCCCCCTTCCCCTCCACCACGCGTGCCCGGTTCCTCTTTCCCCCAGCCCCAGATGCCCGAGGCCAGGCCTGGCTGGCTCCAGAGAGTCTGCTCTGGCTGGAGACGCTCATGCAAACAGGCCCTGTGTTGGCCTCCGCCTCCAGCAAGAGGTCGCGTGCATATATGGGCAGCACTGCGCTGGCCCTGCCGCCTTTCCCGCAGGTGCGGATCTGGTCTCACCGTGTGTCCCGTCTATCTCCCCGCCCTCGGAGTCCCAGCAGGCTGCTGAGAACAATACGATTTTATTTTTAAAATAAACACTGTCGTCGGAAATGAAAGCTCGGGCTGCTTTGCTCTATGCTGCCCTGGCCGGAGGGTGGGAAGGGGCTGTTGTGGTGGAAAAGGCTTTACCTTTCCTAAGAACACAGGAGCTCGGGGTGGAGTAGGAGGCGAAGGTGCTGCCGGAACCAAAGGGGATGGTGCTGGAGTCGCTCAGCATCAGCTCTGCAAAGCCCTGTGCCTTGAGAGGAGCGTTTTCCAGCCGAAACCCAGCACAGGTCTCTTTCCCCAAGCCCCAAGTCTGAGTGGTCCTTTTAATGCAACAAATTGAAACTGAGTGCAGCAAAGGTCAGGGCAGGTGCTAACAGGAAGAGAAGGTGATATTTGCTTTATGAACTCACTGGTAAGTTATTTTCCCACTTGCGTTCACCCACGCACTCCCACGCGCCAAGACACAGGTGCCTGAACGGTCTGGGCTGGTCCCTGGCGTGTGACGCAGAGGATGAGGGACGCCAGCTCTGCTGTCGGGGCCTGCCGGGACGTCAAGGTTGTTCAACACGAGAGCGGGGAGAAAAGAAAGTGAAATCGGTGCGCTTCCTCATTCACCAGCTCCCCGAGCCAGACTCCAGGCTGCAGCCTGCAGCGGGGAGCGGAGGGACTTCCTCGCACCCCCTCACTCGCCCTGGTCCTACGTGCCCGTCGCCAGGCCAAACGGGCCTTTGCAGGAAGCTGCCCCACAGCCAGACAGGTATGCCAGACATTTCCCTCAGGTAGTTTGTCCCCTGCCGGGAGGTGCTTGCTGGAGTGGAGGACAAAGGTGCAGAAATGGTCCCTTTGCACTCACCTGGCAGAGATGCGGAGTTCATCATTGGCGCTTCTCCTTCAGCTGCTCCTTTTCCTTGAGAGCTGCTGCAGTGACAGAGATGGAAACTAGATATTTGGAAGAGGAAATACCTGGGGATGCTCAAAGTTTCCAGAGAGTGAACTTGCTGGGGGGTGGTGTTGTACGTGTGTGGGCATGCATGTTTGCATGCATGTGTGTGCAGAGGGAGGGTCCTCCCCTCCTGCCCCCTGGTTGCACTGGGGGCTGCAGAGCCTCACTGCGCAACTAGAGACAGCTCCTGGCCAAGAAAAAAGGTACAAAGGGGACATGTGGGTTTGGGAACTGCAGTGGGGGAAGTATAACCTGCTGGGGGGTGGTGTTGTACGTGTGTGGGCATGCATGTTTGCATGCATGTGTGTGCAGAGGGAGGGTCCTCCCCTCCTGCCCCCTGGTTGCACTGGGGGCTGCAGAGCCTCACTGCGCAACTAGAGACAGCTCCTGGCCAAGAAAAAAGGTACAAAGGGGACATGTGGGTTTGGGAACTGCAGTGGGGGAAGTATAACCCCCTGCCATAGCCAGGCAGGGGATCTGCCACTGCCTCACCGCGTCGCTCTCCAGTCCAAGCCGAGCAGGGTGGAGCTGGCGGG